AACATGAATGCGAGAAAATATTCGTGACCAATAACCAATGGACTATGGAACATTTACAATAGCAAAATCGATTGTGCGAGAGTGCAATAGAATTGGCATTGGCTTTTTATTCAAATGTAATAAAAGTTGACCATTTGCCATAAAATATTCCCTCTGTTCGTTGAAGTTCTTGATAAAATGCAATCGAATTTGCAATTTTAAATTGGAAATTGAATCGAACGAAGGGCCCTTTTTTGCCCCGTTCGCCTCGTTTTTTCTTATACACTATTTTAGCCGGTATTTATCTATTCTTCGTGGTTGTTACCTATACTTATGTATTGTATATCAACGTTACTGACAAACTGAAACATTTCATTGATGATGACAACGACGACGATGATTTCTATTCAAACCAATTGAAACGCATGACCATTACAGTGCCTGTACGAGTGTACTTTTGTGTGGCACAATGCAAAAGAAGGTCATGCGAAAAATATACACGATTTCGTTTATTGACAATTTTTTTCCATCTCTCTCTCTCTCTCCCTCTCTTCTCGTCGGTCACTTTCTTCCTCTCAGTGTTCGGTTCTTATTTAAATTTGATTTTCAATTAAATTCAATTTGAATACATGAAACCGAACACCATATTCCCTTCCATATTGCGTTGCCATTATCCAATTTGGTTTCTAAATTGTGCTGTTGCCATTCACCACTATGCATCCATCTAGTTCGTTGAACAAATTAAAAAGAACACGTTGAATTGGATGTGTACGAGTGAATATGGGCGAATTGGTGCACGGGCGCATAGCGACAGTGTGCTCATCGTTTTCCGTTAAAATTAAATTTAAAATGTTCATTCATTTCTTTTTTGTCGTTTTGCGTCATTCACGTGCTCTCTCTCGTTTCTTTTCGTGTTTTTATACTTTGTCTACCTCTGTGTGTGTATAACAATTCGAAGTTCTTTCTTTCTTTTTTATCTTGTTTCTCTCCGCACATTGTTAAATGACATTTAAATTTTACAGACACTGATGACATGGGCCAAATGGAATCAATTCGCTATGATCACAATGCACGACAATCACAACAACGAGGTGGAAATCAACAACAACACAAATCAATCAATACACTTAACATGATTAATTCGGTTTTGCTTCGAAAAACCGCCCTCAGCAAATTGTCAAGGTAAATAAATTCTCTTCATTAAATTGTGTGACTTTCTCAACGTTCCTTCAAGCATCTTTTGATTTTTTGTGTCTTATCATTTTTGTTTCATTTCATTTCACGCCGAAAATTTGTTTTATTTATATTTTAAACGTCTTTTTCAATTCGAATGACATTCTTTGTTCAACGATGAATATATGCGCATTGTATGTACAATGTACATGCCATCGATTCACTATAATGATTTTTAAGCGAGATGTCGTCCCGAGGATCTTTTCATTTCGTAAAAGTAATCATGTATTCCGAATGGAACGACACACTTTCTTCCTTGTGTGTTTAAGTACACCCTTGAGCTAGGCAGTTATTCGTGTATATCAAACACATTGTTGTCATTCAAATTTCGTATTCGGTGTGATTCATTTTACGCTGTGATACTCAATTTATATACTCAATGTGCAATACATCTATCTATATCTATATATATAAAAGTGAATGTATGTATGTCTGTCTGTGTGTTCCGGGTTGGCGTCCAAACGCCTCAACCGATCCGGATAACAGTGGTACCGTTGGAAAGGTCTTGGCCCGGCGGTGAACATAGGCACCATCATGGTCGGCCATCGTGGTTTAACACGGCCATTATGGTCAAAAAACCGTATTTTTATCGTACTTTTGTACTTTTTATTGTCAAAAAGGCGAGAATGGACCGTGGTAAACCGTGTTAACCATGATTGCCGACCATGATAGACCGTGGTAAATGGTTTAAAATGAAAAATTTTGCGTCGTCATCATCCGATCTATAAGGGTGTATGTATGGCAAAAAAAAAACTGTATGGAACATTGATGTGTCGTTTTTATTTTTGCATTTAATTTTCGCATATATTTCAATAGAATCAAGTTTTCAATTTATTTTTCTCCATCTGGATATCCCATTTCGGATTTTGAAATCGGTGTGAACGGAAATCCGTTTTGATTTTTAAATCAATATTAAGTTCATATCTTTTCGTTTAAAATTGGTATTGGATGATTTTTTTTCTCGCTCCTTCTGTGTTGATATTTGTAAAATAATTTCAATTTTTTGATTGATTGACCGTTTTTCGAATTTGAACCGTTCGAAGGTACGATATGCTGGTTGGTGTTACACGTGCCGAAGCATATTTTGCATTTAATTCGGAAGATGTGCAGTACGGCATCGAAGCTGATCGACGTGCAAAAATTCTACGAACATACGTTCGAAACACGTACAGTTACCATTTGAACGAAATATTAGCAACGATTGTTAACGAATATACCGATTGGGAGAGACCCATACAGCATCCAATTAATATCAGGTATTATTATTATTTGATTTTGTACACATCTTCCGGGCCTTTTATTTATAAAAATATGTTTTATTTTCTATTTTATTTGCCATTGAATCACATTACAGAGACGAAACACTGGAAGCTTTAAGTGACGCACAATATGTGGCACCGGCAGCAAAAACGGTCGATTTACATTCAGCCAATCATCGAAATTCATTCCTTTATGTCTTTGACTATCAAACGAAATTCGGTGATTTTCCACAGGTATGTAGTTGATTTATTGAGAATTTACCATTAAATTATTGCAGATTAACATTAGAGTATGATTTAAATGTCGACGTGTATCAACCATTCAATCAAATTTAATTGCATTACATTATGAATGTCTTTTTTGCCATTTAAATTGATTCAATCGCATTTTAATATTTTGTTGAAAATAGCGCCAGGGCTGCATTCATGCTGAAGACTTGCCCTATGGTAAGTATTAAACAGATAAAATAAACAAATAGTTATAAAAGAATTATTATATTAATTTTTTTTATTTAATTTCAGTATTTGGAGCCCCTCTTATTGGAGGATTCAATCATTTTGCTAGGTGAAATAAACCCCGTCATTACATTTTCAGCTGATTAAATTGATTCATTTCATTATGTTGATTTAATGCTAATTGATGCATAATTCGATCAACTCAATTTTAATTAACTAATTATTAAAATTATTATTTTTTTACTGTATATCTTTTGTTTGCATTTAATAGAAACTACACCAAATCGGAAGTATCATTATCGGAATCGGTCATGCTGTATTGGTCGAATTTCATTCGAACTGGGTAAGTAACAACATATAATAACATACTAATACTGCGGCATTTATCGATTGAAACTTAACACATATCACATTTTGCATATAGAAATCCAAATGAACCACCAGAACCTGAGCATGGAGGTCGACAAGAAAAAAGTCGCTTTAAAAATATCGAATGGACACCATACGAGACGGTGCACAAAAAATACTTGAATTTAGGTGAGCAATTTATCAATATAGTTTTTTAATACATAAAAAAAACCTCATTTTCACCTGATATAATTGGTTCTTCCGGTCCAAAACCTTGCAAATGAATTGATTTCGAATATTTTTTTGTTGCAATAAAATATTTAGATACGAAACCAAAATTAAAAACTCATTATCGTGCGCATCGTTTGTCGTTTTGGTTAAATTTGGTGCCTGATTTGCACAATTCTGGTAATGATGATGTTCCATATTCGCATCATCAATTGGTGGACGATGATTCGGATCGGCCACCTGTTGGTCCAACGGTGAAACCATTAAATCCACCGCAAGGCAAAGATCCCGGCCGAAATTCAAACTACTCATTATTTACCACCCAAATGTTTTCGCTATTGAATCTTTCGTCACAAAATAACAAATCAAATCAACGTGCCGGTTCATCGTCGAATGAATTCGGTGACGATCACGAAACAAATGAACTACATGGTGCCGGTAATGGTAATACAAATGATGATGGTTTTGCCGCATATAGTACAGCATTGAGTGTTACAATTGCCATTGGATGCAGCCTCTTAATATTGAATGTACTCATTTTTGCTGGGGTCTACTATCAAAGAGATAAAACTCGATTGAATGAACCACGAAATGGTAGCGGTTCAACTCAAATGGGACACGGTACACTGAATAGTGTGCTGAAGAAACGCAATGAAAATGGACAAATGCCAAATAATATTTGTGGTGATTTGGAAACACTTACGATCCATTCAAAAAGTGACCCGGCCACAATATTAAGTCATCATCATGCGTTACAACATCATCAATTGCCACCGCCCGAATTTGCTGACATACCACAACGGGCTCCGCCACCGCCAAAGCATGTCAAAACCATGACAATCATGGACGGTGGCATGAGCGTAGCGGCTGCGAATCAAATGCTTCCAGCACATGCGTTACAGTTAATCGGAGCCAATTGTACGGGCACATTGCAAAAGAAAAGCTGCGTAAAAATTAGTAATTCAGCTGCAAACAGCCAACAACATCAACAGCATCAACAACAACAACAACATCATCAACAGCAGCAGCAACAACATCAACAGCAACAGTGTCATAGTCAAAATCAAATGGATGAATTACGTGTGTGACGCTAGTTGAGCGTATACGAAAACACCAACACCATTGACACTGTATACGATGAAACTGTATTTTGAATTGTTGTTAGCTTTTTGCTAAAAAGAACAACTTGTTTCGTTTAGCATCTGATATTGACATTAATTGAACGGAAGAGAAGAAGAAGAAAAACCATGCTCTTACAATTTATTTGTCCGTTAAATTAACGACGATTTCCCATTTTCCCATTTTATATTACCAAAAAGACCCAGGAATATTTCGTTAATTATGTGCATCTCGCAGTTGTTTGAAAGGTAACCCATTTAATCTATCCATTAATGAAAAACAAAACAAAGTAGTCGGAATTTTAATTATATTGACGAAGGAGAACAAAAAATGCTCAACATGAAACATTATCATCAAGTATGCAATATAAATGGTTCTTTTTTTGTTCTAGAAATGAATTCAAATTGATAGATAAAACGAATTTTGTAAAAAAAAAAATACCACATGAATTTCAATAACGTGTAGGATAAAAAGAAAAATACCATTGCATCTAGATGTTCATTATTTCGTATCCAACATAACATACATATTATGTGGTATGGAAAAGACCATGATGGTTTTTCTCCATCAAAAATATAAATAAGCACAAAATACTCAATGATATTCGAAACACATTCGCACTCATTCAGTCTTTGCTCGTCCGTTGATGATAGTGAAAATATAACAACCAATCGACCAAACGCAAACACAAAATAGTGATTACTTAAAAAAATATCCTATAAATGTATATGAAAAGGTAAGCATTTTCATTAATTTAAAAAATTAAATGTAAATATGAATGGCTATATCACAAAAACACAAACATACATACATACATTCCACTATATCCGTATAAAAATGAAATAGTGCTATTTAAATTGCCGATGAAACGGAGCTGAGTTCCACACGTGTTTTTTTTTTGCTCGGAAACATAAAACATAAAGCGAAGAACGTTCAACGTTCACATTACATTTAAACGAATGAATGTTTGCACATTTTTTACATATCGACGATTCAACAGCTCTCATACAAGTGGAAAAGAGACGAATAAAATCCATTGAGAATTTGACCGAATGAATGCTGAATTTAATGAGCGAAAAATGCGCCATTTTTCTTTCACAATCTATATAAATCTTCATTACATTTAACCAAAAGTGATCTTATATTATTTTTTTTTAATTTATATTTTATTTATGTCGATTTAATTATATATTTTCGCTGAAATGTTCGATTGTTTGCTCATCAGTGCTGGTGGAGGCACTCGTTCAAAATGCTGAGAATTTTAATTGAATATTTTTTTATGGTATCCATACCGTTTCTCAAAAAATTGTTTCGCTTTTTATTTAGAGCGTTTTCGATTTATTTTTATTTAAAAAAAGACAGCAGCATACACATGTAATTAATGAAGGAAAAAAGTCAGCAAACCGCCACAGGTGATCATGTCATTTCACCCCGCATGCATTTCGCTCTATAGTTAAAATGCAATGTGTATAATTAGCTTATTGCTATGTATTTACAAAAATGAGCCCTAGAGATACGCACATATTTTTTCGGGAATGATTTTGATCCTATGAGCTCAAACAATCCAATAAATTATATCAATTAATAATAAATCAATGTAATTTAAATTCGCTCACTAATTCCGATTCTGCGGAGCTAACGTTGCATATTCATTATTGCAAACAGTGAAGATGAGAAAAAAATGCCCAACATGTACACAAGTAAAATGCTGGAGAAAAAAAGCACACGCATTGCAGAAAAAAGCCATTATCCATGCATTTTCCACAATTAATGTGAACATAAAAAGAGAAAAACAATCATCCATCGAATTCGTCGCGTTTTCCGGTGAATTCATGCAAAAATAATCGCCATTTATTTATTAAAAAAACATCTTTTTTTTCGCTCTATCTCGCTCAAAATTTCATTTCAATCATGTTGGATCGTCTGTAATACACACATAAATGTGAGCAATTTTGTCGTCAGCACCATGATGATTGAATCGCATTGAAAGAAAGTTGATACTGCGATAATATTAAAATGTTTATAGATTTATTGTAGACTTAATCCAAAAAAAACTCATAATTACATACAATTTAATTTGTGTCATCATGTTTACACAAACGATTGACCATTTCATTGATATGACAGAGGAAAGAAAAAAATAAACAAACAAGACTGAATTTAAAAAGCATGACTCAAACGTTAAAAAAAACCAACGACGCGAAAACCTCTAATGTTTTTCATTCGAGTTCATCTCAATACGTGAGAGAGTGAATCCATTCAAAACGATTGAATATTTTATATATTCATATTTAATAGATAACTTAATATGATCGCTAGTTAATTGACGAACAAATTAATCACAAGCTAAAGAGCGTTCATCATTTTTCATGGATCTGGTCACGTACATCGATTCTGGTCGATGCAATGACTTCTGTTCAGTTTTCTACAGGAAAATAACCTTTGTACAAAATGTAAATATCATCTTCTATCTGATTAAGTTATTAAAATTAAGTTAGATAAATTTTTCAAAACCAACAAAAAAACAACAACAACAGCGTGACAGAAACAACTATTTAACAGTGTGACAGAATGATTTAAACAGAAAAAAACAAAAACAAAATATAAAATCTGAGCATAGAAAAATTCATTGAAATCATCTCTATTTAAACTCGATATATTTATTGTAATAGGATCATAGATTAAATTATAAAATGGTTATTATAAAATTCAATATTGAATTTAGACGTTTTAATGGAATTTGATAACTAAATAAATGAATCGTAAAAACATTATACAAACAAAATTCAACAGCCCAAACCATGAATGACTATTCATTTTGCATGGACATTTTGTTCGGAGATATGGGAAGAAAATGAAGTGAAATTAAACCATGCACTTTACAATGATGATTCCATGGTACGAAAATTGAATGAAAAAGCGAATATATTTAAACATTTCCAGCAAAATACACACATAAACACCTATTTAATTCATTCAATTTTAAACCATTAGATCTTAAACTAACATTCATATTTATCCAAATAAAAAAGGAAGAAAAGAAAGAGATAAATACACTCGCATTTGAATATTGCGAGCCAATAAGCTGGTGATTGAAAAATATGTGAGAAAATAGTTAAATAAGTAAAAAAAGGAAAAATTAAAAAAAAGTATAATATGTTTAACGAGTTTAATCGATTGACCTATGAAAGCGAGAAAAGGAAGGAAAAAATCATTTAAATTTAAGTAAATTTATCACTATTTTAATCGGACTCATCGTTATTATATTTAATTAAGAATGAACACATTCAACGTACTACCGGACAGTAAACTAAAATTTAGTGTATACTTGAAAAAAAAACAACACACAAAAAGGAAAATCCATGGAAAAATGTTATACAGAAAAATAAAAACTAATAATTCAAATAGTTCATGTGTTTATATTTTGAAATGCAAATTGTCTTCCGGAAAATTCCCCATCAATTTTGAACAGAAAAAAGCGATGCATTGAAGTTGACAGTAGATGAACTGGTATATACATAGGTAAGTTAAACTTCAAATTTCATTCACTTTGATAAACAGCACACTTTTTTCCGCAATTATAACCAATTTTAAGTTAATTTTTATTGAAACGGCATAATTTTCCCCACCTCCTTCCTTTGTTTTTGCAATCGTATTAAACACATTCCAAATAACTTTATGTAATTAAATTTGATTATAAACCCCAATATTTATGGGTGTGTATTCATAATTGTTTGTCGTTGTGCAGCTATTTCGTGGTATATGATACAATTTAATATTACCAATTTCAGTTTTGGCTATTCATTCAAACGCTGATATTTGTAACATTCATTGCTTTTTAGAGTATTGCAGAAATCCAGTTTAAATGGGAAAATTAAATCAAACAAATAATTCGGAACAAATTGGTCAAATTCCATTTGTTGTATTACTTGAAATTGAATATCATGGAAAAATGCGCGATAATTTACCAAATAATTCCATTCAATTGCATTTATTTATTCAATATCATATGAAACAGTAACACAATTCAAAATACAAAGAGCTCACGTGGCTAAATCAGCACTGGGCATTTTATTTATAAGATTGTTTTGTACAGTTGCTAGAGCAACCAATTTGCGGATACTTTTGCTATAGATCAAAAGTATTTTCGAATCCATTTTTAAAATGAATAGAAGAAATAACAACAGCAACAAAATATAAAATGTCTTACATCCGTAAGATGAACTTTTCCGCACTGTGATCCACAACATGCATTTATTACGTATCTTTTACCGTAAATATGAATTCATGAGAAAACTGAATCTGATATAAGTTTGATTGACAATTGAGTGGTAACTTCCATACAAAATTTTCGTTTTTGAGCAATAAATCCAAAATTTTGTTCGAGAGGTACCCCTATTATGCATTGAAATCCCTTCAAATCCTCGGAATGTTATTTTTGTGTGAAAAAAATAACCTGTGCAAAGTTTCAGCTCATTACGATGTGTCGAAAATTATTTGTATCGCAAAACTACGTCATATTCATATCACTTTTGGAAGAAAAAATGAATTTTTCCCATGGATGGCCATGGGCATCACACCAGACATGACACTTCACTCTGTCAACCAAAGTCGCTCAAAATCTAATGGTTTCTATTCCTCGGCACCCCCAATCATCCTTTGCAGTCAGATTTTGAATTACTTTTCTTGTTTGAAAGCTATCGTGTTAACAAATTTTTGCGTACAGCGTACAGGGTACTCACATACATTCGGACATCGAAAAAACGCTAGATTCGTGTTCCCTGACCCCAAAAACACCCAGAAAACACATTTTTGATGGGTGTTAATTCTTCGACCGATTACAATACTTTACCATACACACTAGGTGTGTGCGGAAAAGTAAAAATCATCGAATTTAGCTGAGAGAATTATTAATCTGGTTGCTATACTAGAACGGAAATATCATCAAAACAAATTGTGCAAATATATTGAATGCGGTATATGTATTTTTTAAACACTCATATGTGTGTATGTGATATGCGATATGATGCTGGGAATTGAGTTTCACTGACCATTTACTTTGTCGTGCTCGATTTAAATAGCACACAGGCCAAGGGCCAAATGTGTCTGATTACGCTTTTATCTATAAGCGTGCGTTTGTTCGCCCATTCCGAGCACTTTTTTATAAATGGCATGCGATTTGAATGTTATTCCGGAATGAATAAAAGGGAATTTTAAATGAGCATTGAGTGCTGAAATTCCCGACTTTGAATTTTGATATTTAAATTGAGCGAATAGAGATAGTGTGACAGAAATGCAGCGAGAGAAAGAGAACATAAATCAAAATGTTGACTTCTGTCAGTACGTATCACGATTGTAATATGAAATAATAAATTTGAAAAAATAAAAACAACCAAAACTGATTCTATATTATACAATACTATTCTGATGGCTCTATAGTTCTGTCCTCTATATAGCCGTTTGAAAATTTCGTTTGCTTTTGAGATACGCGATGATGCGTGCATGAGTTATATGTCATATTTTTATATTTTATCGGGAATGTATTTTTTTAATATCCATTGAGCCGTTTACACACGCACACATACACACGGGCATTTAATGTGCGTTTAGCATTCCGTTTTCCCTTGTTCGTTTTGCTCAAATTCGGGAGACATTTTATTGATGTCATTTGAATAAATTCGCTTTTTTGGGCGCATTTACAATTTTGATATCGATATATCGGCACACTAAAAGCATTTCACAATGGTCCCAAAAAAAAAAACAACGAATATCCAAAGCGTATAAATATTATTATAGATATGTTTTATCAGCAAAATTTAATCTATTTTATGATTTTAATGCCCATGTGACGTATTTTATTCGATTACTTTTTTTCTTCTTCTCTCGCTTGTTGTTTGTTTGTGTCCTTGCGCAACAGTAATTGAGGGAGACACAAGCACTCAATGGAAATGGCCATTTCATCTCGAGCTGGAATGATGGCGAATTGAATTAATTTTTTCTCTCTCTCTTCATTCTCTCGTTCAAACATATTGAACGTTATCGAAATGTGTTTTTGGGCGCGTGTGTATTTCTATGCAATTTTCAAAGGATTATAGATATAAATCGTAGAGAATGCGATCGCGAAAAAGGGATTCGACGTAAAGCTTCGTCATTTCTCGACGAAATGGATGTGTGTAACCATCAAAATTTGTTCCGTGACTGAAGTCAATTTTAGTGTCATCGTTAGGAAAAATAAAATGAAAAAAAAAAACGCAGGAAAAACGTTACAAACGTGCTTTCGGCAGAGCCAAAAATAGAATAACTCCGCCTGAGATGGAAACTCTATAAAAATTCATTATCTATAGCATGTCATGACGTTCGTTGAATTCAATTTAACCAACATTGAGTGTTCATTTCGACATGGTTAGAATTTTTGCCTAACGACGTCTTTCGTCCCGATTTGTGTGCAAAATAATTTTGCGAAGTGTTCTTTATTGGAATGGCGTTCGAAACAATGGCCGTGATTTAATGTGTAATTTGCTTACTTGTTCGGCACTTTAACCTTATGACATTCTTATTTAATCGATATCAATTATGTTGTCATTTTTCGATGGCTCTTCGATCGCAAGCAATGCGTAATTTTATCCACTTTGGTGTGATGTGATGTGTAAATGGATTTTCCGTTTTAAGTTTCGTGTTGAGCTCTTCGTAATCTCCATGCGTTTTAAGATAGATGTCTTTGTATGTGTGCCTATAAGACTCAATAAGAATATTATCAAGTCGCCGGTCATTAAGTATTCGTTACATCGGAGATGAAGAGCTGAGCTTGGTCGTTTAATACCATCGATCAATACATAGACATGAAATGGGACTAGTGTAAGTAAGCGAAGTTTATAAAATCAAATTATAATCATAAATTACATTGAACTCTTGAAAGATAGCGACGGCAAAAATTAAGTCAAGTATTTTGTCGTTTGCGAAAATCTTTATTTTGCATTACTCTCTTCCATTATTTCTCACTTTCGTTCTTTGTCTATAGCTCACGTTCAATTCGAACAAATAGCTGAAGCGAAAGTTTAAAGAGAATTATGCATCTATAATATGGCTGAATCTAGTTTCGTTCAATCCGTTTTGGAAGAATTCAAGTGTATATTTTGTGCCATCCGATTCCGGAAGCATGTTCGCATTAAGTCGTATTAAAGTAGTAGATAAGTTCGATACATCACATACGACAAACCAATAAATCACCGTCACATAGTCCTGGAAAAACTCCCTATTTCTCTCTCTCTCTCTTCATCTTTCTTACTATTTCACTCTCTCTCTCTGCAACACAAATACGCTCAATCTGGCACAACCATAAGCTCATTTCGAAATTCAAAACTCCGATGTCATCCGACAGAATGTTCCGTTCATTTATAGCATTTGCATTGCGCACTTGATATACTTGAATGTTTGTATCATCTCGGCAAAATGTCTGCATACCATTTTATACATGTACTATGCATGTTCTTGCTTTTCCTCTCTTTCTCTCCTCACTCGATACACAATCTGTAATATTTTCAGTGGTGATAAAATGTTTAATTGACGTCAAAAACTTATGCTTTAAATTATTACCATTTAAAATGTTCGCCAATTTTGCAGCGCAAAAATTAAATGAGTTCGAGCAAGAGAAACGACTGTTAGTATATGTGTGTGTGTGTGCGTCAGAGAGAGTGTATGTTTGCAAAAGTGTCAAACAAAGTGAACAGGAGCACCAAGTTTATTTTACAATAATTATGTGCCATTAAATACTCACTTTGGCAAATGAGAAAATTTGCAAAAGCATTTTACATATTAATATAGTGTTGTATTAATGGATGTGCGTCAAATCGTTGTGTGGTTTAGTTTTACACGCCATTTGAAAATCTTGTTCGTCGATGTGATCACAGATCGATAGCAAAAGGACCGCATACACACTCACATTACTACCTCTGAACACGGAAATGCCAAACATTTTGTTACTGCAGGATTTTAGCAAAACAATGAATCCGATTACAATTTCGAAATTCAACTATCTCCAATACCATAAATATTCTACCTCAACTATTTAACTCATTACACTTTTTGCATTTTACAGTGTATCCGAAAGAGCACCACAATTTATTGCCACAAAGTTAACAACAACAAAAATTCTGCTCTAGATAGAATCTAGGTGAGATTTTTTACGTTCGACATATTTATCGAACAATTTTTGACTTCAATTATCACAAATGCTTTTAAGGAGAATTAATATTGAAGATAGAAAGAGAGCCGGAAAGAAAGAGAGAGCAAAACATTTTGAATGAAATAAGTAAACCAGTATGCCATAAGCCGTAAGTTGATAAAAGTAAAATAAATCACA